GAGCAGGAACATTTTTAGCTGTGTCTGAAGGCAGAGAGAGATTCTGCCAGTCCAGTCTCCCGTGAGATCGGATTCCACAGTTGGGGTGCTATCATGGAAAAGGTCCTCTGGTTTGCCGTCTCCCCTTTTACTTCACTGAGTGGGGGTGAATACAGAGCAGGGCCTCAGATGACGACCGCAGGGGCCAGGTGGGTTCATAGGGAGCCACTGGCCATCCAGTCCTAATCTGGTTTAAAGAACCATCAGTGGGGAGATCTTTGCTGGGGCCATGCCCGTCAGCCACTGGAGCCTGGATGGCCATCTGAGTGGGCACGCCAGTCCCCTAGTTCACAGTCTTCTCCACTATGGTGAGATGCATCGAATTTCTGTTTCAGTTACAGGATTGCTGTTAAAGTAGATCTAAACATACCCATCAGGACGTTCATTTTCCCATTCTGGCCACCCAGCGTGCATCTCTTGTAAGCAGCACCGCAGAGCAGAGTCAGCACTGAGCCCTCTGCCTTCTGGTACAGTCTCGATGTGACAGTGACAATTTGGCTCTAGGCACTGCCATAAGTGACAAGCCTAGAGGGCCGCCGCCACCCTCATCACTCGGAGATAGCTGCTGCCCAGTCCCTGGCGGACAGCTGCTGCCGAAAGCCATTGCTGGTGGCATGCATGCGTGCTCTCCCTCTGCAGCTACCTCGATTCTAACCCTTGATTGAGTGGGGAGAGCAGAAATGGGGTATGTGGGAAGGAATCATGCAGCACAGTCAACAGAGCATTGTTTGTGGCTGGAGGAAAAAACAATGCATAAAGTATGCATAGATGAGGAGGAAGAGGAAGCAGCACAGAAGCATAATTTTAACCAGGGTGAAAATACATATGTAATACCGTGTTTCCCCGAAAATAAGGCCTACCCCGAAAACAAGACCTAGCTGTGTTTATTCCCAGGGTCAGTGGGGAACATAAAGAGCCTTTTTAAACTTTATTTTTTAACTTAACGCACTTTATGGAGGAAACATGCTTATGCGGCTCTGCTTTCTCTGCTCCCTGCAGAGCCACATAAGCAGAGCTTCCTTTATAGTGCCGGCTCCTGTCACAGGCGGAGTGATACCAAATGCACTCCGCCTGCAAGGAGTCGATAGTGAAAGCGCGCTTCGCTCATTCTGGCCAGTGATTGGTGACCAAATTGCTCTCGGGAAGGTACGGCACGGCACCCGATTGCCCTGATCACCCTATTCTTAACTTTGCCATTCACTCCTGTCTTCTAAGTCTTCTACCCATACAGTATTATGGTATGATACCGTATTTAATGGTAGATTTAAATAGAATATTATTTTGACCCCCAGACAAGATGGGTGCAAAAAGAAAGGGCTATTCCGTTGAGTACAAGAAAAAAATCGTAGAGGACTCGTGCAGCAAGAATCTTACAGCTTACTGCAAAGAGAAGCAGTTGGATCTCTGATTAGTCCGAAAATGGAGAGCAGATTACCGTGTTTCCCCAAAAATAAGACCTATCCTGAAAATAAGACCTAGTGTGTTTTTGTGAGCCAAAAAAAGATACAAGACAGTGTCTTATTTTCGGGGAAACACAGTATTTAGGAACTTTGGGTAATACAGGGGCTCCTTTTACACATGCATTTTATGAATTGATAACAGCAACATGAACGATCTTTCATGAGCAGTTGGGCCATCAGAGACTGAAATAGTCTAATAACAGGTACTGTCTGTGGCTGGTGCTGAGGGTCCATTTCCATTTCACTCCTCTTTGTCTGATCTCTTTCCCTTCAAACTGCTTATTGCAAGTACTCAGCAATATTAAGAACAGGTGCCTGAGAAGACTTGCTCTTCTTCTTCCCTCATCCCCGTTTTCCATTTCTGACATGTCTTTTAGCTTGGGTCTTAAACATGCTGTTTGGGTGCCTTTCATCTGAACACCAGTCCAAAATGCTTTAAATACATATATGCTATGGATAGAACTTCCATATGCTATAGAGTGGAATCAGTTCACACTTTGGATCCACTTCTAACCTGAATCACTTGACCTCGTGGACATGCATTTCTTCACCCTTTCCTTCCCGTGGCAGCCCCTAATACCTCTGAAAATGCTTGCAGGCATTCAGGAGACCCTGCTGAGTATCAGAGTCAGCTGTGAAGTATGTGGGAGGAGCTCCCCAAAGATGGCTGAGGGATGTGTCACATGAGAAGACTTTTTTCCTCTTGAATGGAAAATGCAGAAGGCAAATCCTGGATCAAATCCATTAACTTGAAAATCAAGTATATACAAAATGAAGAGTAATGCTCAAGATGTATGTATAGCTTAAACCAGTAAAAGATCAGAAAAGTAGAGTGAAAATCTGTTTAGCTACTCATCATGAAAGTGAGCTGCAATGTTGCCATCAGCATGGGTTTGGAGTTTTAATGGATTTAAATAAGTTATTGTATGCTTTATGGCTGTGACGGGGATCCATTTCCAGTGTCATCTCTGTGGCAAACGTGATTCATGTTCCAGTAATGCATTTAGGTTTGAAACAGGAAGAACCATTTATTTTTGTTCTGTTTATGAGCATATCTTTATGGTCAGAATGTCATCCCCATAAGACATTTTCAGTAAAAACAAAGAGAGAACCGTCAAGTACAATAAAAAAGAATGAAGTCTTTATTCTTTTGGCTCAACTGTAATGTGGCTTACCGTTCTTTATGGTAATAGCATTTTCCTGCATGCAGTTCACCAACACACAAAGTCAACGGTTTCAATAAAAGGAGGAATTAACATTTAATTTTTGCTTGTGAATGGAATACAAAAAATGTCCCAGTGTGATCAGATATACAGGTTCGCTACTTGGTTCTTGTGGGAGGGAAAAATTATAATTGTGGAACCGCATATAATATTTAGAAGACTTCTAGTGCAGCATGAATCAACAAGAATAGTCTATGTAAACAAACACTGGAAAAGATCAAGGGTTTTATGAATAATCGGACTAATTGCTGATGCAGGCAGTGCTAGGATTCCAAACAAATCTTTCCCACCACATTTCAATTACAAGTTATAGCTATTTGGAAGCAAGTGCATTTTGGACTCAGTCTGAAAAACCACATTAAGATGTGTGCAAAAATACAGTACTAATTAAAAAAGCAACCCAGGAACCCAACATTATTCCCATCCTCTCCTGTCATTGATCCCACCCCACCCCCACTTTGTGAAGTTCTTCAATTAAAAAGTGCTATGGACAGAAAGTAACAACTGCCTTTGACATCGACCTGAAGATCAGTTTTGCTTTGTCATTTATGTACAAAATGCTGAAAAATAAAATTGAATGAGATTTGTACACTATTTATATTTTTCCTTAGAAAAATCTAACCATGTATTTTGAACAGATTAAGCTGTTTGTAATATGATGTGTACAGCTGGCTACACACTGTACAATACTCACTTAAAATTCAAGAGAAGAATAAAATAAGTCAGGGCAGAGCAAGAAGCTTCCCCACCCCCCACCCCATCCCGATAGCCGCAAACTCTTGCGTGATGAAATGATGAATGATGCCTGGTTGAACAATTTGTTTCACTTTTACCACTGACATATGGCTTCCCATATTAGATTTCTGAATAAATCCAAGAAAAATACAGCAGCGAAGGCAAGATAAACAACATGCATCAGTGATAGCCTCCAAACTACTTATAATGGTAAGGAATACATCATATTTTCCTGTTCAAGGCTTGCGAACTACACTTATTGTGGTACATATTTGATGCAATGAATATTGTGCCCAGCTCCTTTATTTCTTTGCTCAAACATGCACCACAGGGTCAAAAGTAACTATTTACACAGACAGCATTTTCTCATTGACACATACGATGTCAACCTTGCTGAGAGCAGAAGATGGCTAAACAATACTGCAGGAGAAAGCAAAAACAAACGAAAATGTCCAGTTTTTCTCCACCCTCTTTTGGCCAGTCCCAGATGAGTGAACGGACGTGTTTTGTTTCCCATAGAACACTTGAAGGCCACCCCACCCGTCCCCCCACTCAAATTTAAATTTAGTTGCAATCCCGTACCAACTACCTGGGCGAAGACCCCATTGACCTCAGTGGCGCTTGCTTCGGAGGAAGCATGTGTAGCATTGCACTGCTAGGTATGTTCCTATCCTCACTGCAATTCGGTACCATTCTGAGGCAGGGAGGGGGCCGCCTCTGTTGGGTAACGGTTGATTTTGTGAGACTTACAGGCACATTAAGAACTGTCAGGATGAGACATAAAGATGTATACTGTTATTAAGCACCTCAGAATCTGGAGCCATCCTGAAACATGGAAGTATTTAAAACTCTTGTGCAAAGAAGTCTTATTTGTTTCCATGCATGGTCTATGAGTGCAGCATGCCTTCATGCAAATCACCTTCTGTCTGTACATTACAAGAGAAGCAGACAGAACAGCTGGTCCTTGACCCTGTACCCACCCACCCCAAGAACATAAAACCCACTTACAAAAATAGTCACGTATAATAGTAAACAACCTGTGAATTAAAAAAAGACAACCTCACCAACACGGAGTTTTGTAAAAATATGGCAAAAATGTGGCAGTTGGAATGCAAACAGTGGATTACAATTATTGTACTTGAGTGTTTTATGTTAAACACACATAAATTCTAGGTTTGCACCTCTTTCCCTGGTCCCTACAGTCTGGGTAGCCATTTCTCTTTCCTCTTCAGCAGTGTCAGCTGGTAATAAAAACAGTAACCTCCTGTCAAGCTTGCCATCCTGTTTTACAGAGCAGCATTTTGGACTGACGAGGGGTCACTGTCTTGCTAATAGGCACTGACCTTAAGTATATATCTAACATTTGTATGTATATATATATATACACATATATATACACATATATTTATAGATTTTTATTGTGTGTGTGTATGTGTGCAAAAACAGTCAGTTTGGCATAAACCTCCTATGGGAGTCCTTTTGAAATAATACTTTACTTTCTCGAGCTGTAAACAATTTGTCACAAAGGGCATGGTTCACTTGCTCATTTTTTGCTGTCCCTGATATCTTTAGCTTTATCTTCTTTTTCTGTTTTGTCTTTTTCATATTTGTCTTTGTCAGGTTTTGTAACGCTATCATAGGAAGGCGGAGAGGTGGTAGAGGGTGTCATATCATTTTTTTCAGGAGTGGAATTTTCATTCAGCTTATCAATGATCATATCTTCTTTGATAAGAGTATCGTCTCCATGTTTTATTCGATCTTTATTAAAAATACAGGACACTTTTTTAACTTTTTGCTTTAAAAGGTAGCGTCTAAAGGCTCGCTGAATAATGACTGCAGATACCTCCTCTTGCTTTCGTTTTAGCGTGGTTGTAATTGGTTCATAGGAGGCTTTGGAAGGATTGGCTTGCATGAACCGATCTTCCATTTGCACTCGGAGTAAGTCCATTTCTTCGCTTTCTCCCAAAACACGCTTCGTAAAGGCAAACAAGATGTCAAGGCAGTGAATTCTGTCACCACTTACCATGGGCAAATCCATTGCAATTAGCTGAACTTTATTTGGTTTTGGTATTAGGAGAGGAGGATCCAGGGAAGCGGCAAAATCAGAGAGTTTAATGAACTCTATAAACTGGGTTGCATCTGGGTCAAACTTTTCCCAGACCTCATAGAACATTTCAAAGTCATCCTCGCTCAAAGGCTCAGCACTTTCTTCAGTAGCAACACTGAAGTTCTCCAGAATGACAGCGATATACATGTTTACAACAACCAAGAACGATATGATGATGTAGCTGACGAAGAAGAAGATCCCAACCGAAGGATTGCCGCAGTCTCCTTTGACGGAGCTTCCCGGGTGGTCTACTTCAGGGTCACAGTCTGGTGGGCCACTGTTGAGAATGGGCGCCAGCAAGCCGTCCCAGCCCGCAGAGGTGGTGATCTGAAAGAGGCAGAGCATGCTGTTGCCAAACGTTTCGAAGTTGAACAAGTCATCAATCCCAACCTCTCTCTTCACGTAGGCAAAGTTGGACATCCCGAATATGGCGTAGATGAACATGACCAGGAAGAGGAGGAGGCCAATGTTAAACAAGGCCGGGAGAGACATCATCAAGGCAAAAAGCAGCGTGCGGATCCCTTTTGCGCCCTTGATGAGACGCAGGATGCGACCTATCCTGGCAAGTCGGATCACTCGGAACAAGGTGGGTGACACAAAGTATTTTTCAATGATCTCCGCCAGGAACATACCTGCAAATCAAATTTTAAAATAGATTAGTTGGGAATGCATGTAACATCTCAGCGTTATAAATTGTCAAATAAATGGAAGGGGATCTATATATTCTAGGGAAATTAGTGGAGGTTAAATAAAACCTTCATTAATTAAAATGTAATTAAAACTTGCCTGAAAACTCCAAACTAAATTCCATTAACTCTACATCATTTCCACTAATCACTATTGTAATACTTTATTGAAATGGGTTTTTCCTTACCTACAATGGATAAAATGACAACTACAAAATCAAAAATGTTCCATCCAATGGTGAAATAATAATAGCGGAGTGAAATCAGTTTCAGGACACATTCCCCAGTGAAAAGGACAATGAAGATAAGATTAATTCGGTATAGAATTGTTTCCATTGCATCAGTTTGATCATCTGTTTCCACCATCATGGTGACCATGTTAAGGCAGATAAGAATCATGATGCTGATGTCAAAGGCTTGTTTTGTTACAAAATCAAAGACCATGCCTTGGAATTTGTTCTGTAGATGAAGAAAATATCTGATTATTTGTATATCATGTTTTACTTTGTACAGAACATTTGCAAATTCACTCTGTAGAACAGTAGTTAAGGTTAAATCAAAGCAAGGTGTGTTAAGGGCTACTTGCTCCTGGAAGGAAACATCTGAGAGGGGAACATCTGGCTATTTCCTGTGTCACCATCATCCCTCCTGTACAGCTGGACAATGTTGATGCACGAACTAATTGTCTTAGTGGCTCTCTCAGTCTCTCATAGTCTTGATCTGCAAAGCCCAGGATATTCTTCCCCAACCCAATTCTCTCCAGATGTGTTGGATTGCAACTCCCATAATTCCCATGGTGCTGACAGAAAGACAGTAACAGTGTCTGTGGTGACCATGCTCTTACTTGCCAACAATGTATGTTCACCATTTCCTTCACTTAGGAAAGGGAGGAAAAAGACCTAGAAACTAAAAGCTATGATAGTGACTTCGCATAACATTTCATTCTAATGATCACTGAAGCACATTCCAATTGCAGCATAAAATTAAAAATGACAGTAAGCAAATCACACTGAGGCTTACAGCTGGCCTTGGAATTGGTTTCTGTGGTTTCTTGGAGCCCAGTTTTTTCATTGCGTTGTAATATTTCTTCTGTTCTTCTGTCATAAAGATGTCTTGACCTCCAAAGTAAAAGGGCAGAATCAAAGCTGGTTACAACCGGCTACCTCTTTTTCAAATGGCAGCAACAAACTCACTCAGAAGAATTGTCGTGCTTAACGGGCAGTCGCTTTCAACCAGCCTGTCCTTGGGCAATAGCATGGATGGGAAAGTGAGACCATTAACAAGGCAGAGCATCCTGGGGGAAACCTACGCCAGCATTGTAATTCCTGACTCACTGGCAGGTCTCTTCATGCCTACCCAAACCATTCTCCCCATCCAATCTCTGCCTTTAGATCTCAGATTTCTTCACAGTACTTATCTCATGACTTGTTATATTCTGTGTTTCCCCCACACCAGTGTGTGCTAAACTCATGGTACTGTTCTGTGGGGGGGGGAGAAGGGTTGGGGCACCAAATGGCACTGTAAGAGGAAGTGCCTGTCATTTCTCTTTGAAAAACCAGCCAGCCAGCCAGCCTTCTGTGGCTTTCCTGCCTCACTCCAGCTTGTGCAGTGAACAGGAGAGGAAATGCAGTGTTGCTCCCTGTCCTTTGAACAAATGAAATTTGCAATTCCATTTCAAGTCTTCCCCTTCTGTGAGGACCTGGCAGCAAGCAACGCCACAGTCTCCCCCTTGCCTCTCCATGATTTTGTGTGAGGTGGCAGAAGAAGCTCTCTCTCTTTTTAAAAGTAACAGTTTCCACCTCCTTCGTTTAAAACTTTTTAGCAAACTGATGCTGGGAAACTTTAAGTTTGTTTTTAATTTTTAAAGTTTAGGTATTGATATTTTTTATTTACCACATGCTCCTTTTTCTGCTGAATGTTTCAGAATTCACTGTTTAGCATTCAGCCTTAGCAATAAGTATACATGCTTCAGTTAAAGCATGTATGTTTATTTTTGCTATAGATAAAAATACTGGATTTGGTGAAACAGAGCATTCTCAGAAAAAACAACTAGCTCCATAAAAAGTCTTCTCAAAAAGGAAAAGAAAATCATCAGCTGTAAATTCTGAAAGTAGACACAACACTACAGCTGCTAAATCATATCATTAATCCTCTTTCAGTATGTCCAGAAAAAAGTGATAGAATACTTATCTTCTTTTTTTGCTGATTAAAATTATCTATGATGACACCAATAAATAAATTTAAGGTGAAGAAGGATCCAAAGATGATAAAGATGACAAAGTAAAGATACATATACAGGTTATCTTCATAATGAGGTTGCTCTTCCACCTGCAAAGCAAGCAGAAATTTTAAGCAGAAATCTGGGTGGGAAAGTATTGTCATCAACACAAAATGGCTTTTCTTTTCTTTATGAATCGTGCGTTTTAAGGCCAACATTTAACAGAGTCAACCAATATAGGGTAAAATTATTTTAAAACTTTCATAGAGCTGTGTGTGTTCACATTTTATTTTGACTTAACACCCACACTCAAAGTATTTTAGCCTCCATGAAATGGTACCAGTAGTTCACAACATACCATGGGGGATGGCCCTTGTGCGTGTAAACACAAGCAGCAAGCACTGTCTCGGGATAAGACGATCTTCAAATAACCCATGACGTGTTTTAGGGTTACGCAATGGTTTTCCAGCCATCCAACAGCCCCTGCCTCCTAGGTTTCACATAACACAACACAACATGCCACAGCAGCCTGCCTTAGCAAAACAGACTCCACGGGTCACTTAAACCACAAGGGGCTGCCATATCCTGTGAACCAAATATATCAATTCAACATTCTCTCTCTGGCTGAATGCCATTATTCTCTTGGACTTCAGGCTACACCTTAGTGTCTGGCTGTATGATCTATTTTGGAATCACTCCTTCGACAATGAGTGCTTGCGGTAGCATACAATTAAAAAATGCAGATCAGAAAAAGGCAGCTGAACAAGGCAGATAAAATACAGTCATTGCAATAAGCCCCTCCAAATGCAAGCTGCAGCACTAATTTCTGAAAGCTTTGCAAAACTCAGTCATTCTTACAAACTGTCTAAAGGCCATTAATGAGGCAGCCAGCTTAACCTCCCCGAGGTGAGAAATTAAGGCTCTGTCTTGAGTGTCTATCAGTCTCACCTCTCCAGACCATGCATACACTGAAGGAAAAATACCCCTAGTATACGGTTGTATTATGCCCCTGCAAAAATATTACATTACTGATACAGTGGTACCTTGGGTCACAAACTTAATCCATTGCAGGACTCTGGTCGGGACCCAAATTGGTCATGAACCAAGTTAAATTTCCCCATAAGGTTCAATGTAAATAAGGTTAATCCATTCTGTAACTATTTTTTTAATTGGAAAAATGTGAAGCAAAGTGACAAAGAACAACAAAGATCATGGCCATCTCCCTGTCCCCCCAGCATGGCTGCGATCACACCTGTCATTCCTGCACGCGCCTGTCATCCCGGCGCACTGGGGGGCAAGAGACCCAGAGATTGCGGTTGTGGCCATGCAGAAAAGACGGGCGCAATCATGGGCACACTCATGCAAGAAAGACGGGCATGATCTTGGCCATCTCCCCCCTGCCCCCAGCACAATCGCGGCCATCTCCCCACTCACGGGGGTGGAGAGATGGCCGCAATCATGGTGGCCACCCAATGCAGAATTCGCGACCTGAGTCTAAATTTTTATGAAATTTTTGTTCGCAACACAATTTGGTTGTGAACTGAGGCATTCATGAGCCGAGGTACCACTGTATTTATTATCTTTCTTCCAAGGCACTCAGGACAGTATACGTCTTGAACCGCCCCCAAAAGAGGATGATGTGCCAGTGTTTTTTCCTTCTTGGTTTGTTTTACATCCCTTTTGGGGTATGGAAAAACAGCTTAACTTTAGTGGCATTTGTTACTAAGTAGATAGGTTTACTAGAGTTCCGAATCAGATAGTATCTTAGACTGGAATACCTATAGGTGTGTTTTAGTCATACTAATAATGCAACCATTGGCCAGAAAATATTTTCCTTCAGGTTGTGATTTGAAAGTATTTCGGACTGATGCCATTACATCTAAAATGTCTGAATGTGCAATGGTACTCGTCCTGTTTTTGGAATGCCGCCTTGCAGTGCTTGCACCATCCACAGCTGTTCAGCAATGACAATGTGGCAGACTATCCATCTGCTAATGAGAATGCTCAACGCTTATGCAACGCAAAGGACCATCGGAGAGCCATAGGGGAGAAGACTACTGCAGATTGTGTGTGGGTTGTCTAATGGGGAAAAGTATCAGGGAGAACAGGTCTGACAGCCAGTAAAAACTGTGCGCCAGATGTGCAGAAATGACATCCCTTCTTCAATCAAAGCCCTTTGGGAGGTAGAGAGCTAATCTTATTTATTTTTCATTAGAGTTATCTCCCTTCCCACCTTTTTCCTCCTGCAAGGAACCCAAAGCAGTTTATACAATCCCCCTCTCCATTTTCTCCTCACAACAGCAACCCTGTGAGGTAGGTTAGGCTGAGAGTCAGCAACCAGCCCAAAGTCACCCAGTGAGAACTAGAACCTGGATCTCCCAAGTCACAGGCCAATGCTCTGACCACTAGGCCACAGTGGTCCTCTGTGTTTGCATCACCTCTGTAGGCCAAATTGCACATGACATGAATCACAGGGATTGGTTCACAGGGCAGAATTTTTCTATCACACACTGGGGTGGGGGGTATAATTTAGACTGCGACCCCACCACAGGGACAGGGCCCCTGTGCTTCACTGTGCTTCAGATTAGGGCCCCTGCACCTGCCATTTGCAAAGGTTCCCATCCACTCCAACTGGCAGATGCGTGGGGCAATCCTATCCTGTCCTCAGCAGCAAACCATGTGACTAATGTTCTATCTGGCACTCAGTGAATGTGCAAGCATCAAGCAGTTCTGAGAAACAAGAGCTGAAGTAACAACAGCAAAAGCAGGGATGTACTGCAGCTGCGTACTTACATTGCGTGAATCCACTGCCGCATACATAATATCCATCCAGCCTTTGAAGGTGGCCTGCAATAGAGGACATGCTTAATGCCTGCAAGACGGCAACTTTCGAAATCTGAGCAGCAAAACTTTTCACACTGTGTATAGCTTAGAGATGGGTTCCAATTCTTCCAAAGTTCCACTTGGTTTGCCTACTTCTTCCCAAATTCCCTCACCTCCACTGCCAAACTGGAAGCTCCTAGTTGCGGCACTGTCTTTCCTCACTCATTGCTGCTCCCACGGGTACTGGTAGGGGAAAAGGGACTCAGCTGATGTAGATCAAAGAAAGCTTTGATCCCTCCCAAATGGAATGGAACACAAGGCAGCCTGGAGCTGCATGTGCAAGCGTGTCTGCGTGTATATTTTAAATCAGAGATGAGTATAGTCCTCTCTGGCGTTCTTCATCCGTGTTGAATGATGCATGAGGAGTGAAGTGCTCCAGCCCCAGCCTGCCTCCTCCTACATTTCCATTGTCCTGTACGATGGACCCTGATGGTATGAAGAGGAGCGCCTCCCCTTGCCCTGGAAGCTTCCAGCAGGATCCAGCACCCTGCTGTGAAAGAAGGTGGTGGGGCTGGAGTGCTCTTTTCCACAAGTTTTAATCCAACCCTGGATGAGAAATGCCTGAAGAGCGCTACTGTGTGGATGCAGCCTATAGATGTCTTTGCATTTATATCCCACCTTTCTTCTTCTTGCAAGGAACCCAAGGTGGGTTACAAGGGCCTGTTCTCTCCATTTTATCCTCATGACAACAGCCCTGTGAGGTAGGCTGGGCTGAGAGTCTGCAACTGGCCCAAAGTCACCCAGTCAGCTCCATGGCTGAGTGGGGACTAGAACCTAGATCCAAGTCCCAGTCCAGCACTCAACCACTACACCACATTGGCTCGCAAAAACGATGTTGCAAACACATTCCTTCGGAAGCCAGGAAGTCCAGCTGGTTTAGTGTAAATTAGCAGTGGGCAAATGCAAGAGCTCTGTGGGCCATTATCAACCCAACCACCCCTGTGGGCCACACTAGGATCTTAAATAACAAAATTCTTTGGGGTGTTAAAACAGATACTTTTATCTTGCAAACGCACTAAATTTAGCCCTTGCAGCACTCCATAGCCTCACCATATTGTTGGCTAAATACATCCTATTTTTCCTAATTGTGTTCATGATCACAGGCTGCCTGAGAGCTGCAGGTTGCCCACTCCTGGTGTAGCCAGACTGCCTGCTTCGTCTGAATTGCAGTTTTTGAGTGAAGGACAGCATTACTGAAAGAAACAAAATGCAAGACAGGAGTGTTTTTCAACCCCCTCCCCCACAGTTTAAGAAATATAACAAGAATGGCTACTCACTACTTGAAGCAAGGAGAGGTAACCTAGTCCCACATTATCGAAATTGACTTTCACGTTTTTCCATCGGGCTGTTTCATTTTTCTCTATGAGCTCCTGGCACTGAGTCTGATTGTCAACCTCATAAATACTGAACATTTCACCATTTGAAGTGTTAACGCAGTGGTAGAACTTGCCGGCAAAGAGATTCACTCCCATGATGCTGAAGATCAGCCAGAATATGAGACATACAAGAAGCACATTCATAATAGATGGAATTGCTCCCAAGAGGGCATTTACCACCACCTATAGAACAGATTAAGTCATAGAGTGGAAGTGTGAATGCAGAACTACAAAAAGCACAGGGTACTTGATTGCTTTGGATGCTTATTTCTAAAAGAAACAAAATGAAAACTTAAAGGTGGAATCCTAGGCAAATTTAGACCGAAAACAAGGAGTCGTAAGCCTTATTTCAGTCTCAATTTGCATAGGGTTGCACTCTGTTAGAAAAGTGGACATGGGCTTTTCCCATAATGTCCTGCACAAATCAGAGGGCAACCTAAACAGACATGAGATAAACAGAAATAGCTGGACAGTGTAAAACAAAGGAATAATAAGTACAAACAACAACCCTGATTTAATAGTTCCAGCCATGTGAATTAAAAAAGGAGAGAAAAGTCAAACACAAACATACAGAAAATTTATAAAGTAGGAAAAGCATGTGTTTTCAAAAATAACTGGTCACAAAATAGTTGATACAAATAAAATTACAAATGAAATTATATTGTTTCAGACATTGTTCAAAATTAACCAATTCCATGAAGGAGTGAATCTGCTGCTCTCTCCCCACTATATTAGGGCCAAACTACCCATTACATTAACTGCATACCCTGTTGCTGAGGTGTCCTTACGTTTTACTTTTGTGCGAACATGTGCAGCCCTGAATTGGGAGCACAGTGGCCTGGGAAGGGGTGGGTGGGTTCAACCTTTCCTTCCTGCACTTGTTCTTCCTCTGCAGGAGAGTTGAAGAAGAAAGAAAAAAATCCACTGACTACAACAGTGGTAATTTGGGGAGGGGCATAGGGGAATCAGTCCTGATCCAAATCAGGCCATGCATGCTTATACAAAAAAGGAAAAGAAAGAGAAGCCTGATTAATGTAATGTGAAATTTGATTCTCAGGTAAGAATTAATAGCAGAAGCCATTACATAGTAATAACTTCTTCAAAAGGAAATACCCAGCTGGATGCGCATTTGATTTTAAGCAATTCTCCACAACTTGTGACTTCTCATCCCGAATACAGCCCAACTACCCATAATTGTGACCTACCTGGGCTTTGACCACCACAATGCTTTTGCAGATTCAGGCCCTAACTAGAGATGGGATAGTGATTTGAAGAGCAGCCCAGTCTGAGGTGAGCACCGGCCTACCCTGATGCTGCCTTGCCATCTGTTAGGGCTTCCCTCCGCCATTTGCAACTAGGTATCATGGAGCTCTCTAACCCTACAGTTTCCAGCCCTACAGGCTCTGGATCTGAGCTGTCAAAAATTGCAGCCTGAGATCACAGAATGTGCCAGGCCCAAGACGCGGGTAGCAACTTTGAGAGTTCCATGCAACCGCTCTGCATGGAATGCTCAGCTGTGTCTGGGAACCACCAGGCCCAGCAGCTGTTGGAGCTTGGGCTGCAACTCCCTGCTGAGACTTCTTCAGTCACTTCAAGGGAAGTGGATGACAGCTCTTTATGCACACATCCCTGTATAATATATATGAATGTAGCTGCCCACTTTGTTGGAGTGCATGCAAAGGGAAGCTATTGCTGTGGACATGGGGAATTTGACTGGTGACTGAAATGAAAATGATGAGGCAATAGTTAAGATAGTGAATTTCTGCAAGCACAGACACATCACTTTTATGTAGTGCTTTTTGAGTGCTTAAAACACTTGATGCGCATTATCTTGGTCGTACTGACAATAATCTTACGAAGTATGACAGCACTGTTGTACAGATGTTGCAGATAATCAGGCTGGGGAGGCTGATAGATAGCGTCTTTGAACTGGAGAATTTCTGATTGATAGTTGTGTCTCTTAGCCACCGTGCTACACTAGTTTATAATCTCTGCTGAAGAAAATAACAGTTTTAAAAATTCCTTTCTGTGTTGCCTTAAATTTGCAGAGCTCCAGATGGAGTATTCAGTCTGAACTAGGAAAAATCTGAAGAGGGACCACAGCCTAGTGGTCAACTCACATGCTTTATCTGAAGAAGGTCTCAGGTTCAATACCTTGCATCCCTATCTAGGAGGATCCTAAGTACCCAGTGATGAGGAAGACTCCCCTCTAGCAGAAATGCAGGGCAGCCATTGCCAAGAGAGCCAGCCCTACCATGGGGCAGGGGCAGGCAGTCACCTCAAGTGGCAGATGTTGCCACAGTGCAGCAAGGATGTCAGAAGATGCTGTTCCATCTTCACAGTCAAAGAGAGATTCAACTGCCAGTCCAGTTTGGTTTTGTATGTGGAATGAGGAAGGGGTAACATCTTGTTTTTTGCCTCAAACAACAAATGTCTTGAGCTGACTCTGACTGCAGGCCAAAGAATCAAAACTGGGCTAGGCAGACAAATAAAGTACACATAGGGATGTTGGTAAAATCTGCAATGGACTCCAATGAGTTTGGATTTCTCTGAATCTGACTCATGGATTCCACAACAGACCAGCTCTTCCTGACTTGCATGGATTCTGCACACTTGTAGACTGTTTCTGTTGTTGTTTTTACGTCCCATAATTTTAGGCCAACTTACTTGTAGAAAATGTTTTAAAACCTGACCAAAAGTGTGCATAGGCCAAAGTATGAAAATACAAGATGGGGGAGTTCTGTATTTTGGTGGAATGACACATTTCAGAAATACATTTCTCAAAATCTGATTCGAGCGAGCAAACAATGAAAGGAAATGTGCCTTAAAATCTGCAAACTACAGACAGAACCAATTTTACAAAGTCCATACATTGCTAAGTACAAAGCTGCTCCCTATGTTTTTAGCCTGTTTTCATTGTCAGGCTCAACCATGAAAGACGTGAAAGAAAATAAGAACAAATACTTTCTGAGCATGAGCAAAGTGTAGTTCCTTAACAGTAGCCTTCCCTTCCACCCACACATGAATATACAACTTGCAGGCCTTGTGAAAGATTGAAAGTTAGCACCTCTGGGCATGAAGGACCCTCCAGCCCGGGCACTGCAAAGCACAGCCTCAGTGAAGCTCATGGCAGTCTCTGTGGTCAGCTGAGAAGGACAATCCATCTGCCATAGATGAGGAACAGTGGCACACACACACAATTTTGCAGCGCTGTTTCCTTGGTAACGTAGCAAGGAAAGCGGCCTCTGTGTAGTTGGAGCACTGAGTTACAGTGGCAAACTTCTCAAGCTGCAGCCAGCATCACTTGAATCATTTCCACACCAGTGCCAGGGCTGTTTGGTGTGGATGTGGGACTGAAGGGAGAGAGCCTCTCGAGGGGGGTGCCCCATGCGCCCCTGCTTGCTTACATTACATCTGCAGCACAGAACTCCAACCACACAAAGGTGAGGTTTTGGCATTAACGATGGAGTGGGCTTTAGTGGCTGTCCCAGAGCCCTGAAATTATTTTTATATAGATAAGCACATATTTTTAAAAAAGCCAATCGACATGCTTTTCTTGTATGTTTTTGCCTTCTTTTAAAAACAGGTTACCCATCCTTACAGGTGCAGTCTATTTAAATGGAAACAAGCAAACAAAAGGTAGTCGCTTCAAAGGCATAGTCAGTACCAGGTCTGTGGGATGTCTCTCTGTCCCTCCCTCCCTCCCTCCCTCTTCTAGCCACAGGATCAGAGGCTACAACAACTGACTTACATTTCCCCTTTCCTGAGCCCATGTGCTTGAAGTAGGAATCCTGTGACAAAGCTCTCTTTACTCTCTTCCCGTGATGGTGTCTGCCCTCCAGTAGGCAGAGAGAAAAGCTGCATAACGTAGTCTCTCAGCCTAGTCACCTCACCAGGCTTCAAACTGTAGTAACTACAAAGCTGTGCACTGGTTAGGGACATCAGCCCCTAGTGACAAAAGATGTCAGTGCAGGCTTCATCCACATGTACACATTAAAACTAATGGCCTTGCTTGGTGTTATGATTGTTTTCTCCATCATCCCAGAGTGCAGGACATGGAATAAAAGGCTCAAGTTCAGACTCTGGCTGAGCATCAGTAAGAACTTCCTGCCTGTTAGGGCAGTACAGCAATGAAAGCAATGGCCTAGGGAAGTGGTGGCTCTCCCACGCTGGGGGCATTCAAGAGGCAGCTGGGCAGGACGCCCTTTACCCTGGAGTCCTGCATCAAGCAGGGGTTTGAACTCAAGGCCTTCCTGGCCACTTCCAATCCAACTGTGCTATGGGTCCATAAACAAAATTATCTGTAGTGCAGCACCCCTACGGCCGCCTTAGCATGCCTGCCACATTTCACATGTCTAAGGCCTTGAGGCCTTGAGGCCATGGCAACGGATGGATGGGCAGACAGAGACAGTCCCCCCCTCTCCTCACTGATCATGCTTCCTCTCTTTTTAGCAGCTACTGAAGGATGGGAAGGGTTCCTCAGAACCTTTGAAGAAGCACTTTACAAAAAGCTCTTTAAAGTGCAACAGTACATGAAACTTAATCCAACAAAGTCTAAGAACCTAAAAGGAGTAGCAGTACTCCATTCTCATGTAAAGCTGGATGGACAGAGCAGTCCTACAGCCCTCTAGATACTGTCTGGGATGGGGATGGGCACAGGAGTCTTTGAATTCTTAGGGTTTCAAGCTCAGAAACACAGATCCAAGGTCAGAGCTAGGGATCCATTTAGTCACACCACTACATAGGGACATACGTATACATATAGGTGCAAATGAGTAGGGTAGGCAACTTGGTGTCCCCCAAAGGTTTTACACTAAAGCTTCTCTCTGGTCCAGCCAGCACTGCCAATGGACAAGGTCAGTAGGAGTTGCAGTCCAAACTTCTGAGGTTATCAGGTTGGAATCAAAGCCAGAATTGTTCTTCAGCCTATACACTCTTCTGCAGGAGTGTTAAATGTGGCACTCCCCTATGCATTACATTCCAAGCTCTTGCACAAGCATTTACAGGACAGCAGTAGGGTCTTCGGAGAGCAAGTCTGACATAACCTATGGCCCCTGGGCTGCTCTACCAGTGTTCTGTATAAGCTATTTAAAATTAGTTCGAGAAAATTAAAAATGTTTAAAACACTTGCATTCACCAATTAAATATTCAAATTGATATGCACAATAAAGCACATTTCAGGTACTCGGATTTCAATGTTACCTCCTGGCAGGTTGGCTGGTATTATTTCCCCCAAAGTTGCAGAAAGGCTAAAAGAGTAAGTGGTGTGTTGCCCAGATGCTCCCTGCAAATGTTTATCTGAAATGAGATTTGAACTAGGGACTTTGTGTCTTGAACTAGGGACATTAAGTCCTTAATGTCTTCAGGAAAATGGTCTGAAAGGTTCTGTTTCATTCATACATTATTTTAACCACTTTCATTTTTTTTCTCCTTACCCTCATTCCTTCAAACCGAGACAAGGCTCTCAGAGGTCTCAAAGCTCTTAAAGTCCTAAGCGATTTAATTGCACCAAGTTCAGAATAACCCAAGGCATTTGCTGTTAAGCTAATTAAGGAGACCTACACATGAAAAGAGAAAGGAAGAAAAAGGGAAATTACTGTCTTGGATGGACAAGAACCATCATGCACTTTTCCTCCAGAAATCTTTTAAAAATAATTTAAAAGACCAGAGTTAAACTGCCTGCTATTACTTCCAGGATATAATTTTCAATCCCAAAATTATGTATATGATGAATAGGTTATACCCAGAAAGCAGAGGTAGTTACTTCTAGTAACTTCTGCTGCATGATTGGTAGTGTTACTAATGTTCTAGCAGCCATAGAATTAAAAATGGTAGAAATGCTCAGAATTCCAAGCATGGTTGGCTAATAAATTGTCAGATTATTTTAAATAAATGATAGAAATTAGATATGAATTAGCAAATTACCCCCCTATCCTGTTTGCGGTCAATCCTTTAAAATGAAGCAAGTATATAAATCTGTTGGATGCTGTAAATCATTTTTAAAAGGATTAATTTCAGCAGGGGCCTCGAGGCCCCACTGTACTCTTAACAATGTGGTCAGTGCATACTGTGGCCCAGAAGCTTCCCTGAATTCTGCATTCATCTTGACCTAGATGAGACCTCCTTGCCACTCTTGCACTTTGTGGTACTTAAGACAGGCAGGGTTTCAAGTGGCAGAATGGTTCCCAGCTAGTCCAGAGAGTCTTCAGGTCCCCTTTTAGTTTCCATGGTCCACAGTGCCTGCAGCATTCCACAACAGGTGGGGTTCGGTCTGCTTGCATGGTGTATCTAGTACATCCAGAGATCACAGGAGTTGCTGCTGCTGTGATTTCTGGAATGCTCAGGTTCACCATACTTACAGAGCAGGTTCTGATAATTGTGTAAAAACTTAGTTCTTCCCAGCTTGGAAGGACCCCATTCTGCTTGGAAGGACCCCATTCCCCTACCACTGTCAAAACACTGGCAAAAGAGGGACGGAAAGGGGAGCTCCTAGAGAACATTTGGCCCTAATGTTGGAGTCCACAGCTTCATTGCACCCCCACCAAAACACTTCTTCCACAAAGTCAGTGGGCATATCTGGACTAATCAGTGGCCCATGCAATCACAGATAGACGTAAGGTCCACTGTAAGTGTTTTAGGGTGACTTACAAGATGTAAGTGTTTTATGGTGACTTACAGATCAATTAAACAGTTTTTTTAAATCCAGGTAACACATTTTAGGTGAAATTCAGAAGTAAGAGAGCAATTGTGGGCATGTGGGTGTGTGGAGGTTTGCAATCACCATATCCAAATCTTCCAGTGTTAGAGACGCAGTGTAGCCACTCCTGATTTTAATCTGAACTTTTAAGGAGCTATCTATAGTGCTGAACCCAATTCCTCCAAACAGATTCAGAACCAGGGAAAGCCTCCTTAAAGTTCATGCTAAAACCCAGGGTGGATCCACCACACCACTAAGAGTGGAACCACCAGTCAGTGCTGGCTTTGGATCCTATAGATCCAAGTCTGTCCCACAGAATACTTTACATTGGCCTTACCACCAACAGCAAAGCTATCAACGTGACCTCTATGCCTGTGGAGACTTTTGCAGGCATCTTAAGGGGCCTCCAGAATGTAAGTGCCAACCCACAGGAGAGGCTCTTCTCCACTGACAGAGAAGCACTTTCATGACTTCTGAACATCTATAGCATAACAGCAATAACTAATGCACCCAAACTGATTTGCATGAAAATGAGTTAAAAACAAGACGTACATCAACAATGAGGAAATCCAGCCAGCACCAGGCATTGGTGAAATACATCTGAAAGCCATACGCCACCCACTTCAGAAGCATTTCCAGAATGAAGATGTATGTGAAGACCTTGTCAGCGTATTCCAGCATGGTCTTGATAGTTTTGCGCTGCTCTATATATATGTCTTCAAAGGCCTGTCAATGAGAAATTTTCAGCCACATTTTAGTATGATTTTATTATCTGATACACACACACAACCCCCTTCTTTAGAAGCAGACACTTGAATTTTTCCCCTTAACAGCTCTACTTCAATTCATGTTCTGTGCATCAGACCAGAACAACTGACATGAGTGATGACAGATTTGACACTTAGGGAGAGTATGCATAGTGGGGGAGGGGACATGCTTTGCATGCTTTTGCAAGAGGGCATGTGCTTGAGGCCCTGGGAAGATGCCACCAGTTAGCATAGATTAGGCTTCTTCAACCCTGTGCTCTTCAGATGTGGTGGGCCACAACTTCCATTATTCCCAGCCAGCCACATCTGGAGAGTGGTAGGTTGGGAAAGTCTGAAATAGACAGTCTGACTGCAAGGCTACTTCCTATGTTCTTCTATCCCATTCTGCAGGTGGATCATTCTTTACCACTTAGAATCCTAATGCTTTGGGCCATCTGATCCAAAACTTACTCAGCTGAGAAAATCCAAACTTAAGGCAAGGAGGCTCCACCCCATTGCTGCTCCGAGTATTAAGATGCTTCTCCTAATGTTTGACTGAAATCAGCCTTCCTGTAACTTAAGTGTATGAGATCTAGTCCTGCCCTCTGGAGGTACAGAAATCGAATCGTTGCACGATTCTAGGTGACGGCCTCTCAGGCACTTAAGAGTGCTATCCTGTCTCCCCTCCATCTTGTCCTCTTCAGGCTAAACATAACCCTGGCACTTTGTTTATTACATTTCTATCAGGACCAATGGTCAAAGCTTTGTCTCCATTGCTTCCTTCTGAACCCACTGTAATCTACACATTTCTTAAAGTGTGCAGCCCAAAATGGGATCCAATATACCAGCTTTGAAAGTATCATCAGCACTACATCTTGCATGTATATCCTGCCTATTTCTTCTTGTGAGGAAGCCAAGAAGCTATGCATAGCTCCATTTTACCCTCCATAGCTCCATTTAATTCTCACACAACACTGGTTCTCATAGCTAGTAGCACTTTATTAAACCAGTACTGGGGTTGTCCATGTTAAGCCACAGCTAAAACAAAAATAAACCAGTGAAATGTATTTGTCAGTTATCCAATTGTATGGTGGGGGGTTGATAAATATAACATTTTATTAAGGATTTCTATTTAGAATGTATATAATGATGGTGCATATCTGTGACAAGTCCACTGTAAATTTCTATGTGGAATCTTACCAACTCATCTGACCAACTCAAAATATCCTGAAAATTTAAATTAAAATTCTACCTGGAAAGGCTACTACTTCCTGGTCTTAACTATCTGATAAACACAGATCAACTACTGTGTGAGTACTATGTGGATTTTAATTATGTTTGGGGCAATTTAGATTGCTCAGCATGTTCCCTACATACCTTAACTGAGATATAACCGATCCAATAGTTAGTTAAATCCTCAATTAAAAACATGCGCGCACAAGCTAGGATGAGATAGTGCTTTAACTGACCACTTTCTGTAGGAAAATAAAATGAAGTACGATGTAGGACAAGTTAAGAAAAAGAACTAAAAATGTTAGGGTCTCACAGGGCAGATAAACGCCATTAAAAATGCACATGTGCTCAAACAATAATTAAGTGTCTGAACGGCTTTCTCTACTATGCCATTGTCATAAGGCAGCTTTTCAAATGTTCAATATTACCAGAGCACCACTGCTGAGGAGAATCATGAAGACAATAAATGTCTCAAACCAATTATGTTCTACTATTTTGTAGCAGGTCTTCCGAAGATTCCACCATATTTTTCCTTTCCCATCTTCTACGCTGACTTGGCAGCACTTGAACCGCTGAACACAGTCTGGAAAAAATGCAGCACAAAGATGTAACAAAAGTGCATAGTGCTGTAAGTTAACCTGAAGTAGAGGTCACCAAATGACGTGTTCTATCACCCGCCTCAAAAATGACATATTCTTGAAACGGTTTTCCTTTTAAAATTTAAAACAGGGCTGGATAACCTCTTTTGGACTGGGGGTCAAATAGCTCTGGATAACAGAACCGCAAGTCCCCGTGGCTGGGCCTCAGTCAAAAGTAGGCAGGTCCACCCCCACTGCTGGCACACACCCAACGCTTGTGCCCACCCCATGTAGACATGCCCACACAATACTCCCAGCAGCCTCGCACACAGACAGCCATGCAGATTGGAACAGCCACCAGTCTCCCTTCTCTGAGGAGGGTGAGGCATTAGGAAGAGACAGACTGACTGGACCAAATTTGGTCTGTGGGCCAGGGGCTCCCCATTCCTGATTTAAGTGCTTGTGCAGCATGCCATGTAACACTGCAAAGGCAATAGCTGGCCTAGTTTCTCATGGGGAAAAGGGTTATGTCAACTTCACCATGTATTGCCTTCCATCTGGTCTCATGTCCACTCATTTTACATGCCATGATATTTGCTCCTAGTGGATCTCATATGGCACAAATCCTGTCTTATTTTATGATAAGTAAAAGTAATTCAGATTCCTGTTAGTGCTGTAAAACAACTGCCTAAGTAAAATCCACTCCATTCACCATTTACAACTTTGTCTCACTAGGAAAAAGTTTGCAAAGTATAGTCTAAAGGAGGAATAGTTCTTCCCGCAAAAGGCTGAAGACTAGTTCTTCCCACAAAATGTATGCCTCTACAGGATTCCGGTTGTGTGCAAAAAATGTTTTAAAGCAAGCACTGGATATTAACTCACTTTTTTCCCCAAGATGTATGCTGCAAGCTGGATATTAGATTCCTGTCTACTCTAGTTCAAGAAATTGTTGGACTCGCCCACCCCTAAAATATCAACACTGGATAATGGTGTTTCATGAGAGTAAACATTTCATCTAAGATGTGTAGTTAAAACTCATGTCAATGGCACGTAAGATGGTAGGAACATGGTTCTGCAGTGGGCAGAAGGTTCATCTAGATTTAAAGACAGATATTTAGATAGTTTGCAGTTCTACAAGGCTTCCTGACTCCCAGTTGTTTAGCAGGTAGCAGCAACAAAATGAGTCCCCTGGTCCTAGATTGCACTACTGAAATTAAAATTTAAAAATCTGGGTAATCAGGAATGAATTTCATGCGGAAAGACTATCAGTCCCATTCAGTTTTGCTCTCAAAACAGCTTCCTTAGGTCAGAATCCTTCAGTTCTAAGTACGAATATGCTGAGGCCGGGAAGTCTGGCCACTTCAAGCTCAACTGATTTACTGCCTGCTTCTGCTCTAACAATCAGAAATGAGCTGGGTTGAGTGGTGGTTTCCACAGACTTCCATCTCTAAGACAGGTCATAGTTTGCACATTAAAAAAAGAAAGAAATCAGTGCAAATAAAGAAAATTGGAAGCTGGAAACTACACTGTTATGGCAAGATGGTTGCAAATTGTGTTTGAACTTTCAGGCTTCTTTGTGTATTGAGAATGTTTATGCATATTTCTTAGTGTTTTTTATGTGAAAATTGCAATCTTTTCAGATGTTGAACTCTGCAAGATGGCTTGACTTGCACAACTGTGAACTGGCATGAATGTGGGGCTAATGAATGAATCTGGTGGCAGAGGGGAGGACAAATAACACAGCCTTCATGGTAAACATATGTCTTTTCACCAAGCTCCAGCTGGAAGATCTTAGAATTCTAGCAAAACAAACCCCTAGCAAGTAAATTGTACAATCTGTAGTCTCCTTATATAAGTAAGGAAAAGCAAAATACTCCCAACATGTGATATAACTTGCCTTCTGTGAAACAAGCCTCTGGTTCAAGAGATTCTTCCGGTTCTGCTTCTGGTTGTTCTCCAACTTGGGGAAGTCCAACATCAACTGTACTACCTTCAGATGAACTAGATGCATTAAGTTTCTGCAAATGAAGGCCCAGTAGAAACCATTAATGACCCATCTGTTTGTCATGGCACTGGATGCATTGAATGCATTTCAAAGTACTCTCCATGTATTTAAGAGCTCTACAATAAGAGCACAGCTGCTTTGCTATATCTATATAACACCAGTTTGCATTCTGTATGTGAGGCTGGAAAAATTAGAATTACATTCACATGAATTTTCCCAACAGTGCAACAGTTTCAGTAGATTCATCCAGGGAATCATGATTTTTGGACCACTTTTGTTAGCTGAGCCAAATACAGAACTGAAATTCGGAAATCAGTTTTATCAGCACTAAATTGCTAGCTGTTATTCAAATAGTGTCAGATAGAGAGCACTGTGAATTGCAGCGTTTCCCCGAAATTATGACAAAACCAGCTGAAAGCTGAAGAAAGTATTTTCATGTCTAATGCAGATAGAATATATATATGCAGCAAATTAACCTTCCACTTTCCACTGACATGAAAACACAAATTGTCAATGTATAAGTACTTTTAGGTTTCTGTCATTTCAGAAAAAAAAGCAGCATATTAATTCCAGAGCAAGAGCCATTATTTTGCATTCTCTTTTGCCAATGCATTTGCACAAAAGTGCATTTTAAACTACTTTTTACTCTTGTATGGTACACATATGTGTCTGTCCTTGTACATAGTGAAATGCACATGTTTTTACTAAAGCAATTAAAAATCCAACAAAAACCTATTTTGAAGGAAAGCCAGTATGCCAATGACCAAAAATGATGTCATCCAAACTTCCAACTGGTATCCAGATGCTATTAAGAAGAAACAAATGGGTTACCGCATGAATAACAGTAGACAAATATGGGTACCATAGTGAATAAAAGCAGTGTAGATCATTGCATTCTGTAGCCTTGTACAATGTTATTACCATGTATAACATCTGTTAAATGGTTGCATTGGTAAGTAGCTTTCTTTACGTGGGGAATGATGTAAGCAGATGGTGAATAACGCATACTTGTGCCAATGTATTGTTATAAAAGATAATTCTTTACGTAACACTCCAAACGAAAGCTGTAGGCATTAGTCAAGCTTTTTCATGAACTCTAATTGACTAAACTATTAGTTTGATGAAGAAAGTACTTTACCAGTTCTGTTTGGTTCCAGTTTGAGGGTGTTAATTTTAAAGCAGCGGAAAGATTTGGTTACTGGTACTGGACTTAATAAAAAGGTCTCAGATGATCCAAGTTATTTCTGCCAATTCAGAACAAAATCAGCCATTTGTAGTCTATTTCAGGTGGTTTGATTAACCTGGTAAAATATTTGCATTTCTTCTAGAAGGGCATTTGGCATTTAGCATAGATGAATCAGTTTATATGAGGCTGGAACAAATTTCATTGATTTAATCAGATAACCTGCTCCCTCCACCTTTATGTGTACTGTTGTTTTCTTTCTTTCTTTCTTTCTTTCTTTCTTTCTTTCTTTCTTTCTTTCTTTCTTTCTTTAAAAAAAAACCTCTGAAATTTTCATTAGGAAAAATCCCTAGAATTAGATTCAAGGCATTTTTTAGCATTTCTGAGTTCTCAGAAATGGATTTTTAATGTGCTTTAATATCATTAAACAAAATGAAGATTATGTTTGGGGAGCAACCATTATTCCCATGTATACCAGTTTATCAAACTTAATAAAATAACTGTAATGGATCTACATAATATTCACATAGATAAAGTGTAAGGTGAGTTACAAACCTTTACACATTTTTATTCATAGTATTATTTCCAGTGACAAAAGAGTTTCTATATTGAGCATGTTAAAAATAGCAACCGTAATAAGAATTGCAATTGTCTTTTCAAGCATTTCCAACTTATAGTACAATCTACTCAGAAGTAGGTCCCACAGGATTCAATGGGGCTTACTCTTAGGTAAGAGGATATGAGGTTGCACAGATAGCCTTTTCTTAAATCTCAGAACATGAAAACCTAACCTCATGCATTTATCAGTAATAGTCTTATTGGGATGGACAAGTAAATTGGCATGATGCTAATGGATGACTTTAAACAAATTAAATAAATAAGTAAATAATAAGTAAATAGTTTCTTTACTATGGGACTGAAGCACACTTATATGAATTTGGTGGCAATTTATTCAAGTAACAAGCAAACAAATAATTTTGGAAGTCTCTAATGTCCTTAGGGCAGCTTCATCTGATATATTTTGTACTCAGGAATATCTGGCGTACAGCATCATTTGTTATGTATGATCTGAAATTAAAAATTCTACTGAAAAAATTAATTCAACTGAAAGCAAAGGATCTGTCTTCCAGGTAACATATAGGTAGTCACACTGTGGAATTATGCATACCTAAATCCCAGGTAACTAAATAGCATACGGGGGACAGTGTACAATTTAACAATTTAATGCATCAGATGCACAGACTGACTGCTCCAATCATTTCAAGAGAAGGACCAAAGCATATGCAAAATGGAAGAAGACACGGGGGCCAGAACCCACAACTACAATGAATAGAGATGCAAGCTTTGAACATCTGTATCCAAACTGGAATTCCCACGACTATAAAGCATTGCTGGATTGTGATGCAGATTTCTATGATTATTTAAAATTGTCTTAATTTCATATAAATATAAAACCATAGAATCCAACCGCTATTTGTATACTTTGGAACATGTTGCCTGCATCATTCCAACCAACATTGCTTTATAGCATTGATACTGGAGCAAGAGCAGGGCAAAAAGGGCAAACCCAAACAAACACACAAACAAAAAATCATGAATCATTCTCAGAAAGTAATGTGATATCATTAGCTTGCTCATTTTGAAAGAAAAATGTAATAACTTATATGTATTGAATTATGAGTAAGGCAAAATAAACAAATACAAATTTGGCACTCTTTTCATTCTAATCCTTGAAATTGTGTGTCCCTCATTCATCACATTAGTATGCTAGACATTTCACATATAAGCAAAACGGTCAGGCATAAATCTGAGAGATTGTTATCGGAAATGTGAGCAGCCACTTTATATTCAAATTGAAAGGTGGTCGTCTACATTTCATGAATTGTAAATTAAACTTTTCAGGTTTCCTTTTGGTAAAAAAAGAAAAAAAGAAAAATCAGCATGCTTCTTTTAATGGGAAAAAAAATAAACAGCCTCTGAATAGGACACTGCACAGGACCTGATTACCTGAGAAAAAGAAACATGCTAAGATTTTATTCAGATCTTATTCAGATAAATTTAGGATTCAAGCTAGAGATACAGATGTCTCTGCAATTCTACCCATTTGAGGACCAATGACTGCCATTCTTCAGAGAGTGCCAGGATTATGCATCACATCATCAGGGACCAGAAGTGAGTTTTAAAGGGGCACTGTGTGCAGACAACAGATTTACACAGTGCACCATAGAAGCTCTCTTGTTAACACTGCCTGTCGCACGTTTCACTTTGCTCAGGAAGGGCATGTGGCTGGCTGAAATTGGGGCCTGGCCAGCTATGAAAGCCTGTGGGGCATATCATTGCTTCATGTGGCCAGGATCCCTCCATGCCACAGGCCTCCATCCCTCAGGCCACCAGCCACCCCTGGGTTGGGCTGCGAAACTCAGGACAGAGGGAGTGGCAGTCCCAACAACCATCTTCATCAGCAGATCTGATAGATCACAGTGTCAATAACTATGAAAGGAAAACTTGTGATAAATATAAATACACTCAGTGAAATACACCGACTCAGGTGGGCAGCAAGGTGTCATTCATGTTTTGGGGTCCCCCCCCTTGCTGAGTTACTCTGCCTAAGATTGTGGGTTGGTGACCTGGCACCATCCAGATGTTTTGGACTACAAGTCCCATCAACACAGCCCCCATGGCCAAAATCATGCAAGGTGTAGTCCAAACTATCTGGAGAGCATCCTTGGTTTACAGCAAACAGGCACATGGGACATACTGTAGCAACATGAAAGTTGCTTGTTCTTGTAGAGAAGGGGCCCAGCTCTCACACATTACTGTCTGCTTAGACGGAGCAGTCCAGTTCTGCGGAGGGGCAGAGGTGGGCAGAGGACTCGGCAGCTTCAAGGTTATGGAGTGAAGATACACAAGCGGAGCGTGAGAACCAGGCTGCCTCGGAAAAGGAGGGGGACAATTCAGGACTGGAGGGGGAGGTGATGGAATAGGAGGTCCTTGACAGGCTAAATGAGTGGGCCAAGTGAAAGGGAGGGAAGGAGAGCAAGTTTGTCTGGATGCAGCTCACCAACATTTCAAGGAGAATGCTGCCCTGAGTTATGCTGTTTTGTAACCTGTTAAGTTTTAAGGAAAGGCCTGTGCTTCTAAAGTCGCATCTGTGTCCCCTGGAAGGGAGAGTCCTGCTCACAACCCTTATCAAAGCTTCCCCTGGATCATTTGGGGACCAGTCTATACCAAAAAGACAACAAGGCCACTTTGCACATATCTAACAAGGAAATTTGCCAAGATTTCTGTAGAAGGCTCTGCTTATCGAACTTTTGTAGTCAATGGGGAAATGTTTTGTTTTTAAACAGGGCACAGAGACTGCATAAGTAGTTCTCCCTTGAAAAGAAGTAGACTTATCATGTAAGCAGAGCCCAAAAGACCATGAAGGCTGAATGGAGATGAAAAATGAAATGGATCCAGTTTCACTAAAGGTTCATGGGACCAAAGCAAGAGGTAACTGGAACAAATGGATGTTGTATACAAAAGCGAAGCAACCGATGATTATATTCTCCTTGCTTCTTATGATGTCAACCATAAACAAACCAAAAAGACACAAACAGAACAAAACAAAATATGAAGGCCTGACCAGATCCATTTTTGCTTTTCAGCCAATTACCAAACCAGCAAGAGGCAACACTTCCCCACACCTCACTGCTGTTTGGCTTCTTTTTCTTCCTCTCTCTCTCTTTAATGTACTTCTCAATTGACAGACCACTTCTGAACTGGTTTGTCTGTCCCCCTGGTTCCAACACTGCACCTGCCCTGGCTCTGCCCACCAGAATTTTTTAATT